GCCTGCTACAAAAGTGGTTTTGTTCCTTTTAATTACTCTGCACAAGGTTTTATGACATACAATTATAACATAGGCCAATGAAGAAATTAAACTTTTTTAACTCTTCAGACAAAGGTAAATGGTGTTATTTTTCTCAGAGATCTCAGTAGGAATTTCCTTTGCTATTTCCAGTGTTTTAATAGTCTAAGTTCTTTAGAATAATACCAGGTGTGGTGGCACACGCCTTTAATTCTAGCACCACCCAGCAGGCTGAGGCAGAGAGATTCTATTGAGGGAATAGAAAACACTCTTCCAAAAAGAAAAATTCCTGTGGTGTGGGGTGACAGCACAATGACCGAGGAAGAAAACACAGCTACCTAAGGTAGAGGAAGAGACCAAGAAGCCAGCAGCCTCAATCAGTTAGTTACATTCAAACACTCTAAAAGTATAATCCAGAAGGTGGAAGCACCTTAAAGAAGCACAAAGTATAGCACTGGACTCTCCCCAGGGTATGAAATCAATTTACAAGAGTCAGTACCAATACAGAAACAGGACTATGGAATAGGGAAAGAAATTCCCAATAGTACTGTAGGGAAAGCTTCCCCTCTTTGAATGTGGCCTGAATTAGAGGATAAAGAAGGAAAAATAAGGGCTTTCTAGTGGAGAAAGTTAGAATGCATGACCTGAATCAAGACACCAAGGCTGACTTCCTCAGGAAGGCCACTGGGTATCACATGCCCCTTCGCAGTTTACAAGGAGAAGGGACTGTACATCTCCATTCTTTCCTATTACCCATTAGCTTCATCTGACTTGCAGAAAAATTTAAAGCAAATCCAAACCACAAGTTCACAAAAACCTTCCAAAGCGATATTACTTCAAAGTAGCAAGGTCAGGAAAACCAGCCAAGACCAGGACATTAAGAAAACAGGACTACTCAATGTACAGTGGAATCTGGGGTTAGAGCCTAGCAGAAAAGGATACTAATGGAAAACTGCAGAAATCTCATGTCAGCAACTTAGTAAAATGCATTTTTGTAATCAGAGAAACAATAGTATTAAATTAGAAGTTCATAGTTCATAAAAGTTACAGCTTGTGATACATTTCAGTAGCAAAGAGCCTGTCTAGTGTGTTCAAGGCCCTAGATTAAGTCCTGAGCACCACAGAAACAGTTTACAAATGTGGTTGACATTCATCAACCAGATTTTTTGTTGTCACATACATAGCAGTAATCTATACATACTTTATAGTGCAGAGAATCCAGTGCCATCTGTAACACCATCTCATCTTCACATGAGCACAGCACACAGCTACAGTCAGGCACAATTGATAGATTCAAATTTAGAGACAGGAATGATGGCACACACCCTTATTCTCAGCACTCAGGAGGCAGAGGCAGGCGGATCTCTGTGAGCTCAAGGCCAGCCTGGTCTACATAGTGAGTTCCAGGACAGCTGGGACTACAGGGAGACCCTGTCTCAAAAAGACCAAAAACTTAATATTAAAAAATGGGGGCGAACACTGTCTTTGGGACCTCAGTGATATAAAGAAGTATACTGGGGGAGAACAAAAACAGAAACTTTCTCTAGTTAGACATTTCTTCCAGCCAGAAATCAAGGGGTCTTCTGTACATGTCCAGGAATTTGTAAAGTGTCCTATAGCCTCCAGATCTTTTGTGAACACATGGAGACAAAGCGAGGATGAAAAATGGTATCAATGAGCTAAAAATACTATGCTCTCTTCACTGTGACCCAGTCCAGAGCACACTCCATTCCCACTAAGAGGAACTTGATGTTCTGTGGGAAAACCTAGCTACTGAAAAGTCTCACTGAAAATGGCAGATGCAAAAATCTTCACTTGTACTCCAGAACTAGGATCAGAATGAGACGCCAGAACATGAATTCAGAGTTAAAGCTGATGGAAGGCGCTGGAGAGATGGCTTAGCAGTTATTAGCATGGACTATGCTTCCAAATGGCCCAAGTTCAATTCCCAGCATCCACACTGAATGGCTCACACCCCAATAACTCTGGTTGCTGTGGGCACCTGCATTCACGTGCACAGACACATAATTGAAAGTAAAATAAATCTAAAACGTAAAAGATGATGGAATGCTGGCTATTTCATTCTAATTTAGATTCCATATGGCTAAAGCCCTAAGTATTAACCATAAAAACGTTAACAAAATGACAGGTCAGGAAATCCAATGATTAAAAATGAATAAATGAGGCGCTGAGAGATGGCTCGGTGGTTAAGAGCACTGGTTGCTCTTCCAGAGGACCCGGATGGACTCCCAGAACCCACATGGCAGCTAACAACTCTGAAACTTCACCTCCAGGTGATTGACTCCTTCTGACATCCTCAGGCACTACATGACACATAGGTACACTTACAGACATGCAGGCAATACACTCACATAAAATAAAAATGAAGTATTTTTTAAAAAAATGAATAAATGAGTGACACCAATTACTGAATATATCCCTAAACCTCCATCTCTGGGCAACCCAAGACAACACCAACATCCTTCAGGGAAAGCATGTGTATTAATAGGGAGGATCCCCACAAAAAAGCCTATTAACTTTATCAGGATTTCTTCTCTCTAGTTTTAGATGTAAAAACGAGAAAAGATATACAATGAAAACTTTCCCATAAGTTTGGAACAAAGCACTAATTTGGGGGGGGGGGTGTCTTTTTTTGTTTTTGGTCTTTTTGAGACAGGGTCTCCCTGTAGCCCCAGCTAGCCTGAACCTCACTATGTAGACCAGGCTGGCCTTGAACTCAGATGATCTGCCTGCCTCTGCCTCCCAAGTGCTGAGACAAAAGTTGTGGGCTACCATGCCCAGCTTTTCTTGGTCTTTTTAGAAAGGGTGCTGGGATTCAAACCCGGGTCTTCTGCAAGAACAGCCACTGCTCTTCACCACTGAGCCATCTCTCCAGCTCCCAAAGTACTAATTTTTAAACATGAGTTCTTCTTGCTACATTGTCCAGATTGTTCTGAAATGATCTTATGTCTCAGTCTTAATGTAGATAGTAAATAACAGGCATGCAAAACAACATCTGGCTGAAGTGTATACTTTTTTTTTTGAGACAGGGTTTCACTATGCACCTGGCCTGGAACTCAAGAGACCCACCTGCCTCTGCGCCTTCCAAGTGCTAGGATTAAGGCTGTGTTCTACAGCAGCTGGGTATATGTGTCTACTTTTTAATAAATAGCATGAAAATTCTTCCAAGCCAGTAACTTTAGTATTATATTAATAGCATTTCATTTATTATCACATTTATTTTGTGTTATGTACACACATTGTACCTTCCACCACATAGGACTTGGGGATTGAACTCAGGTCACCAGGCTCAGTACCAACTGTCCTTACCTGCTGAGCCACTCAGGCCTGAGTTGTATACTTTCAAATGGTTGATTTTACATGATTTCTAACTCAATTTTAAAAAATTACACTTATTGTGTGTGTTTGTGTGGGCACACATGCAGTGATGTGCATGTGGGATCAGAAGACAACATGAAGGAGCTCACTCTGTCTAACACATGGGATCAGAGATCAAAACCAGGTCATCAGGCTTGGTGGCAAGTGTCTTACTGGCTGAGTCATCGCACCAGCCTTTAAGCCAGTATTTATTTATTTATTTATTTATTTACTTGTTTATTTTTTTTTCAAACAGGATCTCCCTGTAGCCCCAGCTGACCTGGAACTCACTATGTATACCAGGCTGGCCTTGAACTCACAGAGATCCGCCTGCCTCTGCCTCCCAAGTGCTGGGACTACAGGCATGCGACACCATTTTTTTTTTTTTTTTAAAAAAAAAGGTTTCTTAGGGGCTGGAGAGATGATTCCCTGGTTAAGAGCATTGGCTGCACCTGCAAGTGCAGTGCCCAGAACCTACAGAGCAATTCAAACATATTTAACTCCAGTTCTAGGGAATCCAATACCATCTTCTGGCAACAACAGGCACTGCAGGCATGTGATGGACTAACAAATGCACAGGAAAAATACTAATACGTAAAAATAAATTTAAACATTTTTTAAAACCAGGTGTGGTGGCACACAGGATTTAATTCCAGTAGAGAGGCAGAGGGAGATGGATCTCTGTGAGTTCAAGTCCAGCCTGGTCTATATCTTAAGTTCCCAGTCAGCCAGAGCTACACACCATGCTTCCCCCCTCCCCCATCCCTTTTTTTTTTTTTTTTCTTACATTTCTTTATTTAGGGAGTCATGCATGTGTGGCAATCAGAGAAGAACTTGAGGAAATCAGGTCCCTCTTCCCACCATATGGTTTCCTTCTTTTTCTTTATTTCTTTCCTTTTTTTGTTTGGTCTTTTTGAGGGAGGGACACTCAGTAGCCCCAGCTGGCCTAGAGCTCACTATGTAGACCAGACTGGACTCCATCTCACAGAGATCCACCAGCCTCTGTCTCCTGAGTGCTGGGATTAAAGGCACACACCCCTACTCCTGGTTCCATCATGTCTTTGTTATTTTTGGTCTTTTTGAGACAGGGTCTCCCTGTAGCCCCAGCTGGCCCCGAACTTGCTATGTAGTCCAGGCTGGCCTTGAACTCACATAGATCTGCCTGCCTAGGCCTCCGGACTGCTGGGACTAAAGGCATGTGCCAACATACCCAGCTCCACCATGTGGTTTCTAAAAATTGAACTCATATCAGGCTTGGCAGCAAGTGCCTTTACCCACTGGGCTATCTGATGGTCACCTTAACCCATTTAGAAATATATATCACTCTTACCCTATTCCACACTTGATAAAGTAAAAGTAAACAAATGTCCAAATACATATTTGCTCCATAGTAACATACAGCTCTCATTCATTTGTGTTGCAACTGATACTGTGTTCTTAGATGACAAACTTTATTCCAGTCTCCATTCACTCCAGGTCTTCTGACATTCATATCACAGTAAAGAAAAAGGGGAACCCTCTCATCTGACTCCTAAAATAACTTCAGATGCTTGGCCTCTTCATTTAGCCTTTTCTGATTCAGCTTGCATGTCACAGAGCCTTACCTTCTTTTCTGAGGATGGTCTAACTGCTGGGGCCCTTAAATACAAACCCATTCTTTGGGTAGAGTCCTGGCCTGGTCATTTGTGTGTACAAGTCCATCCTCGGTTGCATACTAAAATTCAAGTTAAAACAAACAGGATCAAAAGATGGACAGGCTGCCACTATGGATGTTATTTCAAATAAATACATCATTGGAAGTATATGACATTTAGACTATAGGAAAGGTTTCAAGCCACATGTATTAATTCCAACCCCCATATTTTCTTTTATCATTTTATTTATCTATCATCTTATCAAATCCCTTCTAGGAGGGAAGTTACACTAAGCACATGGATTAATAAATAGAACAAAACCACCACCAAATCACAATTCACTAGGATCAAACCTGCAATCTTAACAGTGCAGTTTCCACTATACTAGAGGCATGACTGGATAATACATATTGGAACATCAATTATTTGCCATGCATTGGACTTTAAGCCCAACACTCAATATTGTCCAGCAACCCAGTGAATTTTAAATCGTATTACAATCCTCTTTGTAGTTATCTTTGTAGTGCATGTGCAAAAGATACAATGATTAAAGTTGTAGAGAACAAAACCCAGCATTTATTGAAACCAGTCATTGAAGTTAATGCAAACATACACACATTTATTTACTAACCAGAATGATTCTCTTATTGCCAAATGTTTTCAAAGTAGCTTGTCATATATTCTATTCCCTTCCCTCTCCATGCCTGTCTCCCTTTCCCCTTTCTCCATTCCCTCCCTCCCTCCCTCCCTCCCAACAAAGTCTCCCATATCTCAGGCTAGATTTATAGCCAAGTATCACCTTTGGATCATCTTGTTAGAGCTATAGGTACGTGCCACCACATAAGGTTTTAGAGCTGCTGGGGATGGAAACCAGGAGCTACATCTCCTTCCTTCCTTCCTTTTTTTTTGTTTTTTTGTTTTACTTTGCTTTCTGATAAATGATCTTGCTACCTACAGAGCCTAGGTTGGCCAGAAACACTGGGATTACAAGCATGTGCCACCATATCCAGCTACAACAAATTTGATAGGACACATTCCCTGTATTCTGCTTTAAAAAAAAAAAAAAAAAAAAAAAGTCTTACTCGTTCTGGTTTTATATACCACAATCCCAAATGAAGTATAGAGGTCACATAATCAGAATTTTTTTTTTTTGGGGGGGGGGGTTCTCTTTTTGATATAGGGTCTCCCTGTAGCCCAAGCTGGCCTGGAACTCACAGAAATCCACCTGCCTCTGCCTCCTGAGTTCTGGGACTAAAGGCCACCACATCCAGCTCAGTTGGAGTAGTTTTGTAAAGAAATTTTGCTGTAGTTACCAGGGAAATACATCTAAATTTTTTGGAAAATATTTTTATTTTTTGTGTATGAATATATTGCCTGCATGTGTGTAAGTACACCTGTGCTCTCTCTCCAGCCCCTCAATCTCTGTTTCAACCTCACAGTGACTACCAGGACATCCAGGGATACATAGTAAGACCTTGTCTAAATAAAAATAGGGGATGGAGAGATGGCTCAGTGGTTAAGAGCATTTATTTCTCTTTGAGAGGACTTGGGTTCAGTTCTCAGCAACCACATGGGCAGCTAACAACCATCTATAATTCCAGGGATCCAGTGCTCTCTTCTGGCCTCTGAGGCAACCAGGCACATGCGTGGTACATTTATATATGTGTAGGCAAAACACTCACACACATAAAACAAAATCTTTTTTTTTTTTTTTTTTTGGTCTTTTTGAGACAGGGTCTCCCTGTAGCCCCAGCTGTCCTGGAACTCACTATGTAGACCAGGCTGGCCTTGAACTCACAGAGATCCACCTGCCTCTGCCTCCCAGGTGCTGGGATTAAAGGCGTGCATCACCACTCCCGGGTAAAATAAAATCTTAAAAAATAAAAACTAGCAGCTAGGTGTGGTGGTACATTCCTCTAGTCCCAGCACTCAGAGGCAGATGGATCCCTGTGAGTCTGAGGCCAGCCTGGTCTACCTAGATAGTTCCAGGACAGATGGGTATACAGGGAGAACCTGTCTCAAAAAAGACAAAAAAATAAAAACTAACAACAGTAAGTACACTGTGGGCAAAGACAAATAGTGAACAGTTTTAAGTGAACAGTTTTTAAGAAGTCATCCATTGATTTTTTTTATTATATTGTGACAAAGCCAAATCTAAGGTATTAAGACCCAGCAGTGACTAAATGTTACCTGAATAACAGAACAGGAAAAAACAAATAAGGCACCATGAACTTTTTAAAAGACAGGAGGAAATCAGGGCTAGAGAGATGGCTCAGCGGATAAGAACACTAGTTGTTCTTGCAGAAGACCCGGGTTTGAATCCCAGTACCCACATGGCAACTATCAACTGTCTGTAACTCCAGTTCCAGGGGATCCGACGGCCTCTTCTGTCCTCACAGGCATTGCATGACAAGGGTGCACTTACCTATATGCAGGCAATACACTCATACACATAAAAAAAATAAAATATTTTTTAAAAAGACAGCAAGAAATGCAAGATTTTCTGTAAGAATGAAGACTTTGAATGCATGCCTCATAGATTAAATTACTAAAGGGGTAAAGCAGAGTTATAGAATTGGATAACTGAGGTTCCAGTGCAAACCTAAATAAATTCCAAGTACTGAACAGGTGTGGTAATGGATACCTATAAGCCCAGCACTTGGAAGGCAGAGACAGGAGGATCATAGCAAGTTGCAGGCTAGTTCTACAGAGTATTCCAGATCAGTAAGGGCTCTATACAAGACCCTGTCTGACAGTATTTAAAAAAATGTAATAATTTCAAGCACTTCAAAAATGAATACTTAGACATGAAATAATAATACAGTACCATCTTTGTGCTTCTTGGTATTAAGTAACTCTAACCTAGAATGACTCTAGAAGCTAGAGAGTAAAACTGCCATAAACTAGATCACTTTATTTCATTTTTGAAGCATGTCAGATTTAAAAAAAATATATTTTACTATTTTTATTTTATGTGTACGTGTGTATTGTCTGCATGTGGGTGAGTGCACTCGTGTCGTGCAATGCCCCTGGAGGATAGAAGAGGCCGTCAGATCCCCTGGAACTGGAGTTATAGACAGCTGTTAGCTGCCATGTGGGTGCTGGGATTCAAACCTTGGTTTTCTGCAAGAACAGTCAGTGTTCTTAACCGCTGAGCCATCTCTCTAGCCCCTGCATGTCAGATTTTTTATTATAAATCTACAAATAATCCTGATTATGTGTTTGTGGGGAGATAAAAGCCAACCACGGCACTTTTTTTTTTTCTTTCCGTCTTTTTGAGACAGGGTCTCCCTGTAGCCCCAGGTGGCCTGGAACTCACTATGTAGACCAAGCTGGCCTCAAACTCAGAGATCCACCTGCCTCTGCCTTCCCGGGGCTGGGACTAAAGGCGTATCCCACCACGCCTGGCTGGCTCTTTTTTTTAATAACAGCAATTTAGCTTAATGTCATTACAAATTTATGTGTAAGACTGCTTAATTTTACTCAGTATGAACGTAAATTAGACCAAACTAAAAAGAAATCATTAAACTTGAAACAGTCCTTGGACTTTCTACAATGAGAAAATAGAAAAGTCAAAGTGTTCCTCCATGAGACTGAATAACTTTTCAATCAACATCTAGTAAAAATTTGATAATTTAGTGATTAAAATATGGTATTTGCTGGGTAACTTTTAGTCCCCTTCAAGGTAACCTCAAAGAATGAAATGATTCCCATAATCATTTAGGGAAGAGTAAGCTATCTACTCATAAAACCCCTACTTTTACTAATAGTCATAGTCTTGAGTAAGAATGTGCTAAGGGAATACAGCAGTTAAGAGCACTTGCTGCTCCTGCAGAGGACCTGGGTTCCATTCCTAGCATCTACATTAGGAGGCTCATGACCACCTTAACTCCAGCTCCAGGGACATGACAACGCTCTGGCCTCCATTGGTACCTGCACGCACATGGTTCACATTAACTCATGCAGGCACACACATGCACTTGAATTAAAAAAAAAAAAATCTTTAAATATGTTAAGCCAAGCAGAAACAAGATAACCTTTCCCGACCTCAGTAGGCTTTTTTCCATCACAGACTATCTTCATATTAGAAAATATTCCTTGCATGTTAAAAAGCCCTTAAGACAATTATGGTTAAGTTGGTAAATATGGGCGAGTAGTATAATCAGACATGATTTCAGCTGAGACAACAACCTCCCTGAGTCACTGACAGCTCAGAAACCCATCCTGACACTGGAATGGCCTTGCCAGACTCGGCCCTTTCATGAAGCACTGTGGAAGCTCAAGGTCACTGCTACATTTCCCTATTTGGAAGACTTGAGCTAATTTCAACTCTAGGAAGAAAGAGGACAATTTTTTGCCAGTGGAGCAACATGACTACAGGTTACTTATTTTTAGGCTGCAGGAAAAATATTTTGACTTTAGAAAACTAAGTGACTTGAAGAAGGTGCTTTTCAGATGAACAAGAAAGGAACAGATTTTATTCACTGTTAAAAACTTTAAAAAATCTCATTTTTCACCTTAAGTTAGAGAACGATAGACACAGACAGTGGCAGAAAAATCGACACAAGCAAAGGTTTCCTTCAGTAGAAGCAGCAATAGACTAGCTCATGAAAGGCCCACCATCCCCAGGCCACCTGAAATATTCAGATTAGTCTGTTGGTTTTAGGTTGTTTTCCTTTTCTAATGTTAGGCAGGTTTATAATTTTGATATTTTTCCAATGCAATTCCTAGAAGTTTTCTGATTGAGTACAATTTGAACTCTGTGTTTTTATTTACTGCTATTAGCTTATTTATTGTTATTGTTACTGTTATTACTGGCAGTACTGGAGAGTGAACAAGTGCTGTACCATTCAGCTACATCCTCACCCTGCTCTTTACTTATCTAAAAAATTTTAGGCGGGCATGGTGGCACACGCCTTTAATCCCAGCACTTGGGAGGCAGAGGCAGGCGATCTTTGTGAGTTCAAGGCCAGCCTGGTCTACATAGTGAGTTCCAGGACAGCTGGGGCTACAGGGAGACCCTGTCGCAAAAAAAAAACAGAAAAAAAAAATTACATTTATTTGTTCTCTGTGTGTGCACTTGTGTGGAGGTCAGAGAAGAACTTGTGGCGTCAGTTCTTTCCTTCCACCAGGTGGATCCCAGGGATTAAACTCAGGTCACCATGCTTGGGCAGCAAGTGCTTTTTACCACATCCTGCACCAGGAACTTTTTTTTTTTTAATGTGAGGAACTAACAGATCTTTTCAAGGAAAGCTCTGCCTTAGTCAATTCTATTCTTAATGAAACACCTGTACTCCTGTGTGCCCTAAAGAACTTTCCCAAAGCACACAGGTTTCAAAAGGCACCAACAGATTACAGGTGAAAGGATTATGTGGAAAGAATTACAACAGCCCAGAAAAGCCCTAATCTTGTCAAGATTATGAATCTGAGTTTAGCTCCTCAACACCAAGTCCGGAATGTAGGCACAAGTGAAATGTAGGCATAAATGAAATGTAGGCACACAGTGAGCTTCAGAGAATCAGTGTCTCTCTTGGCTGCATTCTTTTTTTAAATATTTTGTTTATTATTTTATGTGCATGCATGTATTGCAGGTATGTAGGTAAGTGCACCTGTGTTGTACAATGCCCGAGGAGGACAGAAGAGGCTGTCAGTTCCCCTGGAACTGGAGTTATGGACAGTTTTTAGCTGCCATGTGGGCGCTGGGATTTGAACCCAGGTCTTCTGCAAGAACAACCAGTGTTCTTAACTGCTGAGCCATCTCTCCAGCTCCATCTTGGCTGCATTCTTTAGGCAAATCAATTTAATAAGGACACTGAGGATTTTTCTTCTTCAAGCTACTGACCTGGTAACCTTGGAAGAAGTTAAGAATTTCCTTAACTCCAGTATTGTAGGCCAGGCCCTGCATTCTGACCACCGTGCCAGGCTGTGGCGGGACACCGCTAAGATTAGCAGCTGTAGGGAAGTAGCCAAGACTATTAGGCGAACCTGGGGGGCTAAAGGGAGAGAAAGCACAGTGAACCAACAGGAACATAAATTGTTGAATATTTACTCTAAAAAAAATGTTACTTAAGAACCCGACCTTCTGAAGGTGGTATTTCTTACGCTCCTCTAAGTTAGCTCTCCTAAGACAAGTAATAATGCCGACCACTTCTGTCTCACATTTCTGAAGCAGCCATAAGTTGAAGAGGTAGTGGGGGGTTAATGCAGAGTTAAACACAGGGTTTCCCCAAATCTCTCAGATTCTCAAAGGGAGATGAAGGAAAAATTAAGCCTTCTAAGTCACTCAACCACAAAGCACCACTCTCAAAGCACAGATCACTGATGATTAATGAGCTAGTTTTCAGGAATACGGAGGCATGAATACAAAGGTCTAATAGGAACCACAGCCAGAGACCAAAAAGATCCAAAGTGAATGCTCCAGAGAATGGACTGCTCTACCCTGGTGCACAAGGGGATGAGAAGCACAGGAGTAACACAGCACAGCAAGCACAGCACGCCACAACAGATTTCTGCCAACATGACTTTTTTTTTTTTTTGGTCTTTTTGAAGCAGGGTCTCCCTGTAGCTCCAGCTGTCCTGGAACTCACTATGTAGACCAGGCTGGCCTTGAACCCACAGAGATCTGTCTGCCTCTGCCTCCCAAGTGCTGGCACTACAGGCGTGCGCCACCAAGCCTGGCTCCAACATGACTTTTTAAAGTAGGAGGGAGAAGGAGTTAGAAGGAACACAAGCTGAACTGGTTATCATTAACAACAAGGTTCCTGGAAGGGCTGATGAATGAGGCTTCCTGACATTATCTGCATCAAGTACACCAAGAAGCACAAGCCACCAAGGCCTAACTTATGTGGGGCCTCTAGTGATCACCACATAAATCTCACCAATTAGTTCACAAATTAGTTTTACATGATCGCTCCCCAAGTCAATCAGGTTTCTACCACAATAAATGGCCAATGATTACAATTTGAAATATGTACAGGTTTTTTTAAAATAAACAGTCATTAACTTAGGAGCAATATAGATGTCCAACTCTAGATTATCAAATTCTAGTCAACTTTCTGCACAGGTCATTATCCCATTTCAAAGACAAACATAGGAGGAGGAATTGGAATCTTTCAGCGACTCTGCCCCACATAAACAGGTTAACAGGAAGCCAGGCATGGTGGCGCATGCCTTTAGTCCCAGCACTAAGGAGGCAGAGGCAGGCAGATCGCTGTGAGTTCAGGGCCAGCCTGGTCTACATAGTGAGTTCCAGGCCAGCTGGGGCTACAAGGAGACCCTACCCTGTCTCAAAAAGACCAAAAACAAAAACAAAAAACCCCACAAAAACAAAATAGCTTAACAGGAATGGTACCAGAAAGGTAGATCCTTGAAAACTCTTAAGGCCAGCTAGCCAGGCATCCGAGGCCAATGAATGTCCTGTCCCAAACAAAAAGGTATAAGGTGCCTGAGGACAGATACCAAGATTTTTCACTAAGCTGTACATACACACAAATTCATGCTCACTAAAACAAACAACAATACATACAAAGTTCAGTTTGGTAAGTGGTCCAGGAACAATGAAAAATCCAGAACTAAAAGGATGAATTCAGACCAAATCTGAAATCCTACAAAAAAAAGACCCAGATTGATGGGATCAGCAGATTAGCACAAGTGGGTAAAGAACTTGCCCAATGTTGGCAACCTGAGTTCAATCCACAGAACCCTAGGTAAAGGTCACAGGAGAGAACCAACTCCACAAAGTTGTATGTCTCCCTTCTCTAATTCTCTCCAACACACACAAAACACAAAGTAAAAATAAAAAAAATTTAAAGCTAACTTAAAAAGACCAAAAAAAAAAAAAAAAGTATATATGAGAAAGGCAGAAAAAACAAAAAAAAAAAAAAAAGTATATATGAGAAAGGCAGAAAAAACAAAACAAAACAAAAGCCTGGGATGGGAAGATACCTCAGTTGGTAAAATGCTTGCTGTTAAGCAAGAGGACCCAATTTTGATTCCAATACCCAAGTAAAGAGGCCCATCAGTGTGCATTTGTGTCAGTACTGGGAAGGCAGAATCAGGTGGATTCCTGGAGCTTGCTGGCCAGTCAGCCTAGCCAAAATTAGTGAGCGACAGATTCAAAGAGAGACTACTTCAAGAATACACATGAACATACATGAACCAATCCCCCCCCCCACCCCCGCCAAACTGAAAATCTGGATCCACACAAAAGTTAAAATACAAATCTTTACAGTTGCTTGCCTGGCATTATGTACAGCCTTGACTTGAGTTCCAGAACCACATAAAAGGTGTGTGTCAATTTTATTACCTTAATAAAGATGTTGTAACACAAAATTAGGCAGTATATAGGGAATATAAGGACTTCAAGCACAAAATTCTCTTAACTATAAAAGAAGATTATCAGTAACTCTAAATTTCAGATTCTTGTACTGGTGCCTATGGAGGCCAGAAGGAGGTGCCCAATCCCATGGAGACTGAGTTAAGACAGTTGTGAGCTGCATAATATGGGTACTAGGAACAGACCTTGGGACCTCTGTAAAATCAGTATGTACTTTTAACTGTTAAGCTGTCTCTTAAGTTACACCCCCAAATATTTAAATTTTTAAAAAAATTTAAACGGCATTTTTTTCTACCCCTCCCTCAAAATCTCAATTTTAACCTTGACTACTATGCCATCTTAATCAGAGTTTCCTGTATCAGGGAATAGGCCAAAATATACTGGAACATTTATATAGCAAAGCTTTTTAAAATATTGTAAATATATAAAATTTCATTTGCCAATTAAAAAAAATTGTTTTAGTTTTAATTGTGCGTGTGGGTGCAGGTGCCTGTGGAGGGCAGAGGGGTCAGATGCCTCTGGAAGTGGAGTTGTGAATTCCCCAAAATGGGTGTTGGGAGCCAAATTCAGGTGCTATTCAAGAGCAGCAAGTGCTCTTAAATCCTGAGCCATCTCTTTAGCCCTTTATTTGCCAATTAAAATAAATAGGTAATAGATAAAAATAAAGAGATGGAGATGAAAAGGAAAAAAAGTGTTGCTCTATAACAAAGTTTTCCAATTGTCTCAAACGGTCCAATTATCACATCAGGTTAAAAATTAAAGTTGTATCTAAAGTTTTGAAATTTATTTTGGTCTTTTGAGACAGGGTCTCTGTACCCATGTTGGCTTGGAACTCTTGGTAACCCTCATGTCTCAGCCTCCCAAGGGGCTATGATTGCAGGTGTGACCTACCATGTCAGGCATGTATTTGTTTTATTTTTTAAAATAATGTATTATTTTTACTTATTTGTATTTATTTTAGTCCTTTTGATACAGGGTCTCCCTGTAGGCCCTGTTGGCCTAGAACTTACTATGTAGACCAGGCTGGCCTTGAGAGTTCCACCTGCCTCTGCCTCCCCCTGTCCTGGGATTTGAAACTATATCAGGCTTAATATTTTTATTTTATGTGTATGAGTGTATTGCCTTCATGTGAATAAGTGCACTTGTGTCATGCAATGCCCAGAGAGCTCAGAAGAGGGCATTGGAGGCCTGGGAGTAAAGAGTTAAGGATGGTTTGTAGCCACCATGTGGGTGCTGGGAATCAAACCCGGGTCCTCTGCAGGAGCAGTCAGTGCTCTTAACTGCTAAGCCATCTCTCCAGCCCATCAAGTTGTTTTTTAGAAATTGCATTTATTTAATGAGGGTGAGCATGGCACAGCACCCACGTGGGGGTCAGAACAGTGTACGTGCATGAGTCCGTTCTCTCTTTTCACCCTGTGACTCCCATGGATCAAGCTCAGGTAGTAAGGCTTGGCAGCAAGTATTTTATCTGCTTAGCCATCTCAACAACCCAAATATTTTGTTTCTTTAATCTGATTTTTGTATTACTCTGAGTCAAACCTAGGACAGGACAGGAGTGTTGGGAGCTATTAATATAAGCACAGCCATTATGTACATTGAGCTGTGGCAGGCTTGCTTATTTACTTTAAGACCTTTCACCTTGCCTCAGGAGTTTGTGTGTTTTACACACAAGCACCGAATTATTCTATCAAGTCAGAAAAAATGTGCTAATAATTTTAAAAAAAAAAGGTTAATTGGTGACATTCACCACAAGTATTTAACCGTTCCTTAACCATCAGATAAAGATCAAAAAAAAAAAAAAAAGCTATAAAGCTAATTGAGCTAAACAAACTATGGTTATCTGATGTTCTACTGTATTAAAAAGGCTAAACTAAAATAAACTGGGACTGCAGTCTCTACTGACAGTCCTCCCAAGTATCTTTTCTCTGTCTCTTGTTTTTCTTTCAATCCTCACTCCCCCTTTCAGGTGCTGTTCATCTAAAGCCAGCTGGCACCAGCACAGGGGCTGGGGGAAGATTTGACAGCACTAAAACTAGGGAAACGCAAGTTTAAAAAAAAACACATTAATTGTAAATCTAATGCAATTGACTTAAAAAAAAAATGTCTGTGAATCATCTTATAGGAATGTAAGTATATTGAAATCAATGTGGACTTTAGTTAACGGAGATATTAAAACCTTTAAAACGTCTGGGGGCTGGAGAGGTGGCTCAGTGGTTAAGTGTACCTGTTCCTCTTGCAGAAGACCAGATTTCAGTCCCCATCAACCACACAGTAACTCACAACTGCCTGGAATTCCAGTTACAAGGGATCTGATGCCCTCTTCTGGATTCCATAGGAATCAGGCATGCACATGTTGCATATACATACACACAGGCAAATATGCATAAACATAATAATTTTTTTTTTTAATTTAAATGGTGGCTCAGTGTTTAAGAGCAATGGACTTGGGTTTGGCTTTCAGCACCCACATGGCAGCTAACAACCAACTGTAACTCCAGTTTCAGGGGATCCAACACACACTTCTGGCCTCTTCAGTCACTGGGAAAACATGGATACACTTACATACATGCAAACCACTTATATCCATTGAAATAAATAAAATCTTTACAAAAGAAAGAATGGAAGGGCATGGTGTATGCACATACCTTTAATCCCAGCACTCAGGATGCAGAGAGAGGCAGATTGAGAGACTGAGGCTAGTCTGGCCTACATAGTAAGTTCCTGGCCAGCTGGGACTATAGGGAGACCTTGTTTCAAAAAAATAATGAAGTAAATATAGAATTGTACTCTCTTTCATGAGGTGGACACACTACTGATTTTTAAAAAGAAGTGGACAGTACAGTATTGAGAAATGTACATGAGTACATTACTAAGCTAATAGTAATGGTTACTTCTGGGCTAGGCAATCTAGAAAATGGGAGTCTTTTACTCACTATGTCAATACTTTGTCTTGTTTGGAGATAGAATCTCACTATACAGATTAGGCTGGCCTCAAACTCAGAGACCCACATGCCTCTGCTTCCCAAGTCCTACTATACTCTTAAACTTAATAATGAGTACATTATAGAGCTGGGTATGGTGACGCGAGGCAGGTGGATCTCTGTGAGTTCACGGCCAGCCTGGTCTTCATAATGAGCTCCAGGTCAGCTGGGCTACAGGGAGATCCTGTCTCAAAAAGACCAAAAAAGCCAGGTGTGGTGGCACACACCTTTAGTTCCAGCACTCGGGAGGCAGAGGCAAGAGGATCTCTGGGAGTTCAAGGCCAGCCTGATCTACATAGTGAGTTCCAGGACAGCTTGGGCTTCAGAGAGACCGTCTCAAAATGACAAAAACAAACAAAAAACAAAACAAAACAAAAAACCAAAAGTACATTATAGACTTTGAAACTGTTAGCTGAAAAAATGTTTACCTAAAGGCAGGGACTCACAATTATAGGCGTGATTAAGCCATTTATGTCAGTTCTTATCTTTGTGGTTTTAATTCAATACTCATGATCTCATTTCTAAGAGATTCCTTCTTGTAACAGGGCCCAGACAGTGAGTCAGTAATGGAGCTGGTTGTTATGGAAACATACTACAGGTCGGAGAATTGCATCAGGGGCTCACTGGCTTTTAGGTGACATTCAGATGATATGAGAGGCAGACAAAGAACTTTCTCATAACCAGAGGCCACCACAAGAAGTGTTCCACTGGAGGACTACCGGTGACAACTGCTGGGCTAGGATCCACCACAGTACTCAATCATGTACCCAGGGTCAAACTCAGGGCCTCGTGCATGCTAGGAAAGCTCTCTACCATGGACCTCTCCCACAACCCCAAGCCCTTTCACTTTTTTAAATTCTAAGCGGTTTCAAAACAGAGCTACCTGGAAATGCTCGTGGTTTTCCGATTACTTATTCCTCAGCAGATTATTCTCAATAGCACTAATGCTTGCAAAACTCATACCCAAGGAATGTAAGAGGTGCTAAGGTGAGACATCAAAGTTCTTCTTCCTTACTAGAAGACTCCATATTACAGAAAACACACAGAGCAACATAACAACAGGGGTAAGAGAAGTCCAATCTAGGCTAATATTATAAGCCTCACTTACAGATTCATAAATATACTCAAAATATATAGTCTAAATATCTTAGGATAAAAAACCCTGGTATAATCAGTTTTAAGAAAGCAACTTTTGCGGCTGGAGAGATGGTGCAGCGGTTAAGAACACTGAATGTTCTTACAGAAGACACAGGTTCGAATCCCAGCACCCACGTGGCAGCTAACAACTGACTGTAACTCCAGTTCCAGGGGCTCCGACACCTTCTTCTGACCTCTGTGGGCATTGCATGACATGGGTGCACTTACACAACATACAGGCAATACACACATACACATAAAATAAAAATAATAAAAAAAAATACATTAAAAAAAGAAAGCGACTTCTGTTTCATCCCCAGGACCCACATGGTGTAGGAAATTGACCACCCCAAGTTGTTCAGACTTTCACACATGCACCCTGGCATGTGTGTGTGCACATATAAATACATAAATAAGTGCAATATTAAAAAAAACATAGTGGCAGCAGGCTGTTTGGTGGCACACACCTATAATCTCCTAGTACTTGAGAGGCAGAAGCAGGAGGATTACTTCAAGTTTGAGTCCCATATGTACTATACATTGAGTTCTATAAGATCCAGGGCTTAAATCCTGAACTTAAAAATTGGGGGGGGGGGGGGGTGGCGGGCACATGCAGGTGTGGTGGCACATGTCTTTAATCCCAGCAGAGGCAGGCAGATCTCTGTGAGTTCAAGGCCAGCTTGGTCTACATAGTGAGCTCCAGGCCAGCTGGGGCTACAGGAAGACCCCTACCCCCCCAAACAAGGGGGAGGAATGGGGGTGGGTAAGGTGGGGCTACAGAGATGGCTTAGCAGTTAAGAACATTGCCTGATCTTACAGAGGACCCAGGATCGACTCCGAGGACCCACTTGGCTAACAACCATCTGTAACTCCAGTTCCAGGAGATCCAACTCTCTTTTGGACTCCTCAGGCGCTGCACACACATGGTACATTTAACATATATGCAGACAAAACACTCATACATAAAAATATTTTTTAAAAAATTGAGGGTAGGAAGGAAAAACCAAAAGTACTGGTATGAATATATATCTCCCAATTCCCTAGAATATATATATTTCTTTTTTTTGGTCTTTTGAGACAGGGTCTTCCTGTAGTCCCAGCTGTCCTGGAACTCACTATGTAACCAGGCTGGCCTTGAACTCACAGAGATCTGCCTGCCTCTGCCTCCCAAGTGCTGGGATTAAAGAAGTGCACCACCACACCCGGCCCTAAGAATATAGTCTTTGCATTATAGTGTCCTACCTCAAATTAACTAAAAGGCAGCAAAGACATAAAATGTTGACCCTAAGAAAATACTGAGTAAGTTAATTCTGGGTTTATTTATGGTAAGTATTTCAGGAGAAAATAATATAAACCTTAGAAAATTTATGGCAACTCTTTATTATGGACTGACATTCAATCTACTGAAAACATAGTTATTCCCATTATGAATTTTTCTGTTTTATGATTCATCCCCATGTTACTACCATCTGATCATGAGGAATACACAGCTACTCATTTGTGGCCCTTAACAGGAGTGTAACGGGAAAAGTTGAATTCATAGATAACCTAGAAGATTATGCTATTCACATATGATTAAAAAAAATAAACAATTTCCAGTTTGTCTTGAAACCGCCTATTTGGACAGAGAAATGAGCAGGAGCCATGGCCTGCCATGCTAACCTTCAACGAAGCAGACAATATTCTTTTGTAAGCTCAGGCACAGGTGATCAAAGGAGTCCTTTGTTTCTGTTCCTTGTGTTCATTTCCTGCAGAGTCTTACCTGGGATAGTAAGCTGTGTAGTTCATGAAGAGCTGAGTGCCTGCTGGGTAGTAAGCTGTGGAGGGCTGCAGTGCCCGAGGATTCAAGAGCAGAGAAGGCTGATAAATGGCAGCTTCAGTAGGAATCACTGCTGCAGGAGCTGGGAATGTGTAGGAGGGAGGAGACAGGCCTAAATAAGCAGAGAGAGAGACTTTGAAATATATTTGTGAAAGTTAACACAGGTGTGTTAGCTTTTTAGTTTATGTGTTATGAGTGTACTGCCGGCATGTATGTAAGCACACCCGTGTCCTGCAATGTCCGCAGAGGTCAGAAGAGGATGCTGGATCCCCTGGAACTGAAGTTATGTACAGTTGTTAGCTGCCATATGAGTGTTGGGACTCAAACCTGGGTCCTCTGTAAGAGGAGTCAGTGCTCTTAACTCTTGATCCTTCACTGCACTCCCTATATATTTTATTTTTCTATCTTTTGGTCTTTTTGTGACAGGGTCTCTCTGTAACCACAGCTGGCCTGGATTCACTATGGAGACCAGGCTGGCCTTGAACTCAGAGATCCACCTGCCTCTGTCTCCCGA